AATATTATTAGTATATTAACATAAATAATAAACAACTTTAAATCTTTTCTGGTGTGTTTGGTATGTAAATGAATTAGAATTCATATTTAAGTAAATTATTATAATTTGAAAAGTTATGTTTAGTTTAGAGGAATCCCTATAAACTAATTGATCAAATTATTAGCAAAAATGCGCTTCCTCACCCATATCACTAGCGTTCGAACCCTCATTTTCCTCCCTATCCCTCTCCCTCTCCCTCCTTACCCCTCTTCCTCCATGATGTTTCAACCAATTGGCCTGTCACATAAAAAAATAGTGTGTTTAGCTTAAATAAAAATGGAATTCATTCATTTAGAAGTTATGTTTGGTACTTAACTTAAAAATTTTCAAGTATAGCTTTTTAAACTTAATACTTATCCAAATACTTGAAAACCTATACTTGGTATCTAACCCAACAAGTATCAGATAAGTTGCAGGTGTATACTTGTGTACTTGATTTAGAGAAAGAAGAGGTTTTGTATAAGTTGCTATTGTTGCGTTTGTTATGTGTTTAGTTTAGGATTTGTTATTTATGTGAGTTGCTCTTACTACATATGTGATTTGTTTGGTTACTTAATTTTTATTTCTATTTTTGTATTTTATTATTTTTTATTAAAAATTATTGTTATTATATAAACATTAAATATAATAAGTACAAGGAAAATTTTAATTATACAAGTACAGTAAGAGGTCACTTAAATAAGTCAGTTAAATAATTCGAATAAACAATTTTGAATCTTCATATTTGTTATTTGACTTAATACTTACAGGTATAATATTCTCCTACCCATTACTTACTGAATTTTTTTACCTTTCAAGTATGATACTCGAACAAGTAAAGTACTTGTAAGTAACGAATGTACTCAAATAGATGTACTCGTACCCAATGCTCACCCATGGTTATGAGTCTATCCCCTTTTAACTCAAAATGCAAAATGACCCAATCTAATAAATGCAGAATCTAAGGTGACCCAATTTGAAGCCATTTGATTTAACCTATTTGTTAAGTCTACCTAGGATAAGTGGTATGTAGAGATAACAAGGAATGCTTTTCTTCTTTTCGACAAGAAAAGACGCAAATAAGAATGCCAACTTTGTACTTTTTTTATTTAAAAATGTTAGATTTGTTAGTTTTTAAATAATGATACTAATTTTCAACTTTTTTCATTTAAATATATCGACTTTTAACATTTCAGTTAAAAAGTATGTTTACCACGTCAAAATCAATATCCAATTAATCTTTAAATAAAAAAAATTGAAAGTTGATATTTTTAAATACAAAAAAATTTAAAAGTTGGTATTTTATTTAAAAATTAACAAAATTAATATCATTAAATAAAAAATATAATAGGTTTAAGTACCATTTTGATCCCTCAACTT